AAAAAAAAAAAAAAAAAAAACTTGATAATAATTGTGCTTATTATATCGCCATCAGTGTAAGCAAATTTGGCATTTTTATGCACTATTTGTAGGTTTTGGTAGTTGTGTTTAGCAAAATAAAACTGCCGACAGGTTGTTTACTAAACACCATTTCTATACCAACTTTCTTTTATTCTGTTTTTTTTACCAGTTTTAATAATGCTTTTTTGTCTATAATTTTGTTTTCGTTTATACATAAACTTTTTATAGTCTTTGAAATAGATTAGTGAAAAGTCAGCATAAGTGTGTACTGTGCTTAAAGTCAAGAAACGATACAGTTCTTTTTTGATTCACTTTTCTCTTCAATAGAAATCTAGCGGTAGTTTACAACTTTATTTACTATTGTTAAGGCATATTCTATAGGGCATATTTGATATATTTTTTACGCTTATAAGTCGACTATTTTTGCACCATGTAAAAACGAACTGAATGAGAAAGTTAAACAGAAAAAAAAAAAAGAAAAAATCTTTCAACACTTTTTTCAATCATAGGTATAACTGCTTTGTTTTGTTGATGTTTTTTCTTCGTTTACACTGAACTAAACACAAAAAAGATAAAAGAAAATCTATTAGAATTAACAGTACAAATTGTTAACATCTGCCAGGTGACAAATTCAATATTTCTTCTACCTTTGTTATATGTCTCTGTTTGTCAAAAAAAAATTTGTTTATATTAAGTGTACATTTGATTATCAACTACAAATATTTTTAAAAATTACTTTTTTTTTTCTTCAAATCAGCTAAATATATTTACAATTTTTTTTAATGTTATTTTATTGTTGAAAATCATATGCAATTTTTCAACGATGTTATTACCTTAAAATGTTATCTGTTGTTTACAGATACAATACATATGCGTTACGTTATACATTTGAATGCGGTAACTGCAATTTATGGCCCAATTTTAGCATCTTAAATTTATTATTATTTCTTTCACAAGCATCTGTAATTACAATGCTTTTGGGTTATGCAATTGTTATTGTCACAGTAATGCAACGAACTGTCGATGGTAAACGTATTAAGAGCCGTGAAGC